GGAAAACTGATGTATCAGCAGTAAAAAAATCTAAGTTTTACTGCATTTTCCCATGGCAAATGGAAAACTGATGTGTCAGCAGTTTTCCATTTGCCATGGAAAAATGCAGTAAAACTCAGATTTTCACATTTCAAGGAGAAAAATACAGATATTCTCCTTTAAAGGAGAAAAACGTGGGAAACTGCAGGTTTCCCCTTGCAGGCTGGGAGAATTCTAGTCTATAAGGGGCTGGGGAGAGTGGGAGCAGGGCGATCAGGCAGGAGGTGGTACGTGGCAGCCAGACAGCTTGAGAGCAGCTTCTACTACTCCTCACAGGTAAATCGGGAGGGGAGGGGAGGGGAGGGCAGGGGGCATGGAGGCCCCCATAGGGAGGGAAGGAAGGAGGCAGGGAGGGAGGGAGGAAATTGGGCAGGGCTGGAGGCTCTGCTCAGCTGGGGCAGTGCGTAGGGCCTGGGGCAGGAATGTGCAGCCATAGGGTCTGGCTAAGGAGTGGAAACGAGCCGTGGGCAGCTCATCAAGGGGACGATGGGGACCTGGCTCCCCGCCACTGTGCACACTCCCAGGTGGGCCATGGGGGGTACATACCCCCTTGAGATTTGTGTGCAGAGTTAGGACAGACGTAGGCTGGTGGCTGTGGGCTTGCGGCTCCCTACCCTGATGCCCTCCCCACAGGGCCTCCGTAGCTCAGCAGGTGGGACACAGCACAGCAGGGCAAAGTGGGGCAGGGAGGCTTGGTGTCACCGCCGGGAGCCCCATGCCACCATCACAAGGTGCTCCCTGCTCGCCCAGGAGCAGTGGGGGGCATAACTCCACATTGCCACCGTTGCTGCTGCTGGGCAGGCAGGGGGTACCTCACCATGGCAGTGTGGGGCTCCCAGCAGCAGCACTAAGCCTCCTCCTGCCCTGCTCAGCCTGCCACACCTGGATTTACCCACTGGGCCACGGAGGCCCGAGAGGAGGGCAGCAGGGCAAGGAGCCTGCAGACAGCAGCCTGTACCACCTCCACCACAGGCTCCACTCCAGCCATGCCGTGCATGAAGGAGGGGGAGCTGGGCTCCAAAGTCTGCTCCAGCCACAGCAGCTACTATCTCCAATGGGTGGCAGCCAGGGCTCAGGCGCTGCTAGGGAGGAGGGGGCTCCAGACCTGAGTACCTGGCCTGATAGCCCTAGCAGCTGGGTACCCCCTCCAACAGGGCTGGAGGGCAGGGGTTGGGGGCTGGGGGTGAGGAGTAAGGGGCACTAGTAGAGCTAGGGGGCTGTGGCTTGGTAATGAAGGGCAATGGCATGGGCAGGGCATTGGCTCATCAGAGGTTTTCAGAACCACCAAGCAGTGGAAGTGGGGACAGCTGCAGCTGGACCTGCATTCTGGTGAGCAATGGAGGCAGGGGGAGCTCTGATTTTCCATGATAAAAAACCCAAAATCAAACGCCAAAATGTATAGGTATTTAGAATGTATTTTATTATAGTCATTGAGGCACTGGTAGGCTTCCAAACTGCTTTAAAATTGTAAATATATCAAAAACATGTGTTCAACCGATACATATACATACACACACACTGTGCCCATAATGCTTTATTTGCACTCTGATTGGCTGATGGAAACAGCCAGAGTTCTCCAAGTGTGGGGCAGTGCTGCCCTGATTCCGAAGCTGCGCCTAGGAGCAGACAGAGGGTGGGGGAGCCAAGGCCAGCAGCGCTGGCCTTGGCTCAGCCACCCCACTCTCTGCACGAGGCAGAACAGCGGCAGCGTGGGCCGTTAGCTGGCAGCACTCCATCCCAGCCCCCTTCCGCCCCCCACCATTCTTGATGGGTAATTGGCTACTACACACACACACACACACACACACGGGGGTTTTTTAATTGCAGAAAAACGTGGATGGGGGGGGGGGGGGGGTTAATCGGAGAAGTTTTAAGAGAAGTTTTAATTTTTTTTAACAGAGAAAACCAGGATCCCTGCCTATCAGCTTTCATTTGGACTCTAACTTTTTCTTCTCAAAAACATGAAACTTACCATGAAAAATGTTAATATTAAAAGATTTTAAAATAATGTACTTACTTTCTCTTTCAGTTGATTAACTTCAGCTGTTGTAACTGCATGCTTTAATTGTAGCTGGAATGAAAAGTAGTTTTGTCAACAAACATTTCAAATGTCTTTTTATACATTTTAAATTTATCATGGATTATTTAGGACCTAATTCTCCACTCAGTCTAGCCAGGCTTGCATTAGTGTCCATTAACATACATTACATTCACTCCTTAATCTAAGTTATTCATGTTTTTACCAACTTAGAGGAGAATCAGGTCTTAACATATTATATGATATAATGTTTTTAACATACAAAGTTAAAAAAAGATTATAGGTGTTATAATATTCCTAACTAATTTAAAATAAAATAATGATGACCTTTTTCTTTTATCTGATTTATTTGAAGATAACAATAACATTGAAACTCAGCAGTCAGTCCTTTATACTAGGGAAAATAATAAATATAAAAATCAAATGAAAATTCAGTTGTTGAAGCATTTTTACTAGTAGCATTCATAAGCATTTTCATCATGCAGTTGAGCCACGTGGTTAATGTGCAAGATATGTCAAAGGGATTATGGGAAGTAGAAAAAGGCTTCATTTAAGTTACCTAATTATTACCACACCTTGAAAAGTTTGCTACTCTGCCAGTAGAATATTCACTGAAGATAACTATGGAACTCTTAATTTTCACATTCAATGTATGATTTAGAAGAGTGTTTCTCAATGTTTTTAGCCCCAAGGCACCCCTGGTGTGACCCGAGGCATGCTTGCGTAACGTCTGTGAGTTGAGCAGCACCCCATTTCAAAAACTAATTTATTTATTACAGCGCTTACCTCCTTGTAGAGGGGCTGAGCAGTGGGGGCAGGGTAGCAACCAGGTCAGGAGAAGCCTGAACCTCCTCTCACTTTGCAGCACCTTTCAAAAGATCTTGTGGCACCCCAGGGTGTCCCAGCACCCTGGTTGAGAGTCACTTGATTTGGAAGAAGCCAATTTCTTGTGAAGCACAGAATGCCAAAGAATTGCTGAAGTGAGTAAATTCATGAGTCAACACTTTAGATTTGTTATCAGAGTTTGGATTTTACCTAGTCATTTTCCAGCAACAGGCATGGTATTTATGCAAGGAAATCGCATTATGATTTGTCAGACTCCTACCATACTTACTAACCTATGAAAATTGAAAATGGTCTTTAAGGATTTAAAGTCTGAAATCTGAATTCCATTAATAACTTGTCTAGTACTATCAAGAACAGTGGTGCTCAACCTACTGCTCACGCAGTAGGATGTGTCCCCCTTCCTGCCCTTTGCCATGCTGCTGATCTACTCTGCAGCCCTCCTGCTCTCTCTCCTCCACTACAGCAGGCCCTGTCTACCAGAGCTCTCTCCCTTCCTCCTGCCCTGGAAGGTAAGCTCTCTTCCTTTGTCCTCCCCCTCCCTGACACTGATAGACACCCTTCCCCCTCCCACCTTCCCCAAGAGAGTGGTGTCTTGTGGTGCAGCCAAGTTGCAAAGACCCAACCCACCCCTCTAAAACAGTGAGCACCACTGATCAAGAGCAACATCATCAGCCTCTATAGATAAAACCTCATGCAACTATTCACACCAGTGCCATCTCAAGGTAGCAAAGCTCTTGGGCACAGTGTATTTTTCTCAAAAAAAAAAAAAAAAAAGTAATCTAAGGGGCTAGGGTCCACAAAAAACACTGAATCAATGGACACATGTTAATTTATACTGCTGTAGCAGCGTGCATATGTACACAGCCCCCTGGCTGGAACATTATAAAGTTTGCTCAAAGGTGAGCTCTCCACCAAAGGGGCTGCACTCCCTTGTTTCCCCTGTTCTCTGGGGAGCCTGTCAGTGACCCCAATCATTGACAGCATGCTCATTTCCCTGCTGGGAAGGAGGGCAGGTTGTCAGTGATCAGATGGCAGCTGATACTGGAAGCAGGAGCTGTCAAAGACTACTCCCTTGTCCCCTCTTGCTCACTGCATGTGGAGTCCAGAAGAGCTGCTCTCTTTGCCCTTGCTGACCCTGCAAGCAACAGGAGGCTGTACTTGACAGCTACTGCTGCTCAGCAGCTGTCCTCTCTCCTACCACCACTGCCACCAGAATGGCTCTATGGCAGCTCACTGTGGCTGAGCCCAGTGGGGAGGGAGAGCAGAAGACTGTGGATTGCTGTGGGGCCAAGACCCCACTCAGTGCTAGATCCAACTGTTCACACTACAGAGGGCTACAGAGAAGGTCCTCTGAAAACTTCCAGAACATTTCTGGGGCAGATTTGCCATTTTTGTGGTGTTACTGATGATGTAAGTGTGTGGACACTACAAATGTAATGTGCATCAATCCCCTTAGAAGTGCTAACTGTTATGAGTACCATTTTGAGATGCTTAATTTTCCCACTATACCTAACTCCTAATTCTAGCTGTTGATTTAACTACAGAAGACACAGCCTAAAAGTAAGGTGTTATGATACTCAGCACCGCAATGTCTGAGTGGGAACCATCCAAACTAGCCAACAAAAAACAAAGAGGGCTGCATCTTACGCTTCTCTTGGGACTTAACCACTTAACTGGGCTTCAGAGAGGTGTCTGCATCAGACTGAGATTCACAGCCCTAAATTCTCTTCTGGAGTTAGAAAGTCTTTCACTACAGAGCAGGGGTCACTCATAATACACAGCAGGAGTGACTAAAGCACTCAGCCAGGATGTAAGAGACCTTTCATGTTGTCTTTTGCCTGAAGACACTTCAGATTCAAACACTGTAGATTCAAATGCTCATCTCTTACCTACCTGGAGTGTGCCTTTATAACATGTGGGCTGTACAGGCATGGAGACACACTCCGTTTTCCTTTTGAAACTGTGCCACTGTACAGCAAAAAAAATGCAAGATTCATTGGGCCAGGAAAAAAGTGGCAGCATTGCATTGCAGCACAGTAATTAGAGCACTCAAATTGGTGTACAAGAAAAATTCAAAGGAGCTCTAGGGGTTCCAGACACTGCTATGAGGACTGTTTATCCAATAACTATTTAAAATGCCTAATGTGATAAAATCCTTAAATTTGAAAAGAAAGTTGCAAGAGACAATTCGTAGTTAGAGGAAAGAGAGTATGACAAATAGGAATAGAAGGAAGTTTAATATTAATCTTATAAGATTAAAATGCTCCTAGGTGCACCACAGATAACATGTAACAACTTTAAATAATGTAGTACCATTAAATACAATTACCTCTTTAAATTTAAGAAGAAGTTGTGCTGAATCCATATCCAGGGGTAAATTCATATCTTCGTTTTCAGGAAGATAAAAAACTTCCACAGATTTTCCATGTAAATGTGACTCAAAAGTATCTTCATCATCATCATAGTCATCATCCTGACAATAAACAAAAACATTAGTGAAGAAAGATCTGTGCTTTGTTTTATAACCAACAAAAAAGATCTTTCTTAAATACACAAGAAATCCAAAATCATAAATCATAGTTTCATAGTTTCATAGTTTCAGGGTCGGAAGTGACCTAATAGATCTTCTAGCCCGACCCCCCGCCAGGGCGGGAGAACAACCCAAAAAAAAAAATCATAAATACAGCTTTTCTCCTGACTAGCACTTATTCTTTGTTCTTTTTAATTGAACAATTTTCTAATATTATAATGCTGCTTTAAGATGCCTGTGAACATCTTATATAAGAATTCTACAAACAGAAAAAGGAAAGAATTGATCTTTTTAATTAACTTCATCCCTTCAAGTTGCCTCCTGGGTATCAGACTGAGGACTGGTGGCAGTGTCAAAAAATGTCGAAGTGCTATCTGAGCCTAACAGCCACTTGGGTTAACTTGGTTAAGGCAAACCATTTTCAACAGCCTACAGCACAAAAGGGGGTGATGCATCACACTTGGATATGTTCAGCTTCCCAGCCTGAATGACCCAGGTACTCGTGAATACCTGAGTCAAATGCAGGCAGCCCTAGACAGGTCTGGAACAAGGCTCAAAATTCATGCCTTTCAATCTGTAGCAAAAGAGATTTCTCTTTCTGTCACTACCTCATTATCATGTGGAATGACAATATTAAGTTATAAACTTTGCACTTTTTCCTTTGTTGTCCCAAGCTTTTGGTTCAAAGAGATGGTTCATACATGTTCAAAAATATATATGCAAATAGTTCTACATAAATACCACATTTAAAGAAATGCAGGCACCGACTGCTTTATACCTGTTCTGCATCATCATGGCCGTAGTGCTGCTCATACAGACTCCTCTCTTGCTCCAAAGTCTCACTAATGAGACGGGCTACTTCACTCTGAGTTCCTGGTTTCTCTCTTCCTATCAGAAATCTAGGAGGCAAAAACTTACAAGTCACCAAGTAGTGCAAGGTGAGTACTGATTAATATATCATAGCAAACTACACTGCTGCCTTTAGTGTCAAGTTCTGTTATTTTTTTTAAATTTACACAAAACTTTCTATATTAATAAAAATCTGGATAACTTAAAAGCTAACATTTTAGAATTTATAACAATAATATATACACACCTGACTGTGCCTTTGGTCTTTTTTAGTACACTGGCTGCAAAAAACTGAGTTACTCCTACTAGACTTGTACCATCAACCTCAACAATCTGATCATTTACTTGGATTCTGAAAAATAAATCATTAAATATTTAGCCATAAAGTCAATAAAAAGATTTTGGTATAACACATTATCTCTATATTGATAAACATGCCTTGAAATTTACAAATATTTAAACTGACAATTATGGGGGTCCCAAAAGTCCATTGCTAGAAGAATTAAGGAATAGGAGATTGATTTACCATATTTACTCGAATATAAGATGTGGCTTTCTCCCCCAGTCAACATGAGGAAAAAGCCCCTCATTTTACATTCGCATACTAGGAAACCTCATTAAATACATTGCCTATCTATGAACTGCTGCTAAAAGCAGCACATGCCCAATAATGGAAACCAATTATGCAGTTAATTAAATGCAGCCAATGCTGAGCATGACTATGAAACACTTTTTTAAAATTAAATTTTGTGTTACAGGTCAAATTAGCAAAATCAGTTCTGAATCCTATTGACTGAGCAGAACTCAATCGTTCAAGTCCACGTGGTGCTACCACCAGCAAGTATCTTCCATCCCAGACTCTTCAGCCTAGGGCTTCAGATACTCCCAAATCCATGGGCAGGCATCCTACATGCAGACCCAAGTGCGGAGACCTTGGGGTTTGGATGCCCCCAAGTCTCACTTGCCCTTAGCCAACTGGCCAAAGGAGCAGCTAGTGAGGGATCTCCCATTTCCATGAAGTAGGTGTGTAGCCAAGATCCTCCACTGGGAGACTATAGTAGACTCTTGTAAGGTCTCCGGTCCACAGTGCATTGGACAGGTCTGCACCAACTACTACACAACGCCATTCTAAAGTGATCTCAGCCAGGCAACAGACCACTGAAGCAGCTATGCTTGATCTCAGCCTACAAGAGACCAAGAAGCAATAAATCACATAGCCCATATGGGAGATAAGTTAATGCAGCCCATCTGAATAAGACATATGGTAATGCCCCTTAAGCACAGTGCCTCTGAGCACCAACTCTTGTTCAAGTCATGGTGAGCCATTAAAATGAATACATTTTGACTTCTTCACTCCCACAGCTGAGCTGCACCTTTTTTTCCCCATTTCCATTATTCCTAATTCTTCACCAGTTTTAAATGTCTGGCAAATATCAACAAACGGGACACTAAACCGTTTACCCAGAATCCCTCTGCCGTCCATTCTCTCAGCCTGTCACATGATTAGTGTGGCCCCACACTCCATGAGGTGAAGCCAGACCAGGCTGCCCTATGTCTCATCTGCATATAAAGTTTTGGAGGATCCTAGGAATCATGACAAGAATGCTCAGTTCCAGTCATGAGTGGGGTGGCTAATTACCACATGGGTCTTTTGGGGGCAAGATCTGGAAAACACAGGTATTGATATTGATTAGTACTGACATAGTTTGAAATGCTGTCGACTCTGGTGAGGCCCAGCCCAATAACTTATGTGGTAAATCAGGAGTTTTTTGGCTTTGGATACCATAACAGAATTTGTACTCTCTCTAAATAAGTACAAAAGGGCTGCTTAAAAGTGTGTCCATGGATAAACTTCTAACAGCTTCAAAAAAGGTAAAATACATCAATTCTGGATAAACTAAGTCTATGGGTACTATATGCAAACTGCTACAGCTATGTTTATTCCAACATCAGTTTTTTCAAATTTGTTCCTCACTTCTGTGCGCTCAGGGAGAGTAGGAGCTACAGGAGAAATTGGTGGCAGAGAGGGGGGAGGGAGAGGACAAAGGGGCTACCTGACCCCCCCCAGGTTTATCTTCCTTGCTGTAGCAGTGGGAGACTAATAAATTCAACACAAACCTCTAATAATTAGATTCTATACCTGGAAAATTATATCAACTCTAAAAATGTTCCATATATAGAATCTAATTATTGGAGGGTCAAGTTATAATCAGGGCTGTCTTATATTTGAGTAAATATGGTATTTTCTTTTCTTTTAATTATTACTTTTTTAAAAAGTATATTTTCCTTCATCATAGTTTTAGTTGTTTATTTTCTGGTAGTTGCTCTCTGTTAACCACATCATTTGTGGGGAAATGCTATGTCCATGCATATAGCACATGTATTTTCATGGGTATGCTAAGCAGACATAAGTTATGATTTGTAATGGTAATAACTGTTTGGAACAGAAAGATGTATGGTGACTAACAAAATGTGACTGGAAAAGTTTAAATATTCCCCCTTATGTTCATATTAACATACACGCATTAACTAAAAGTTTTGCTAGCAAAATTATTCGGCACAGATGCAGTCTTTATTTTGCTTATTGTAGACTAGACTACATAGGCTTTTGCTAAAAAAAACTCCAGGTCAAAATACAACTAAACAAATATGATATTTATTTGGCTGCACTTAACTTTTTCAACATTATTCATGGGAATTACCATATCAGATCAAGCCCAATGATCCATCTAGCCTATTTTGCTATCTCTGACAGCTGTCCTTGCCAGATGCTTAAAAATGATGCTGCAAGAAACCCTCTAAACAGAAAAGCAAAGAATAATTTAATTACAGGACACATTTCTTCATGACCCACATAAACAGTGATTGAGATAAGCACTGAAACATGGGGATTTATTCTCCTTGATTTTATCTAAAGTGAGTAGGTGCAAGATGGAGAAGGGCTAAATGTTCAACTGGCATACACCAAATGCCACTGCAACCAAGGAATTATGACGAATTAAACCAACTGAGATTTGATATTAAATTTGGCTTGTTCAATAAAGACTTTAGAGGTTTTTTTAGACTAGCTGAATACCAAACTGATGAAAGTTAAAGGACATTTTCAGTGCTTTCATTAAAATATGCTGCACTATACAATGTCCTTTGTATTATGGAATACGAGTAATTTTCAGCAAGATTGGAGCACTTAAATATAATAAAAATTACTATGCCAGTTACTTGACTAATTACTGTAGTGTCATGAAAGCAGAATACATGTCATATTTGTATTTCAAGATTCTGTAACAGAAGGGAGGGAAGGATGGCACCTTAGAGACTAACCAGTACAGAGGCATACCCTGTCTCAGGCAAGAGCCCGAGGCTTTGTCAGATGTAACAGACGTTCTGTAACTTTTCCCCTGTATATCTCAAAATAGAGTAATTATATAATATTCAAAAGGTCAAAAGTCTACCTAAGCATATTATCTCACTGGGCTACTATGGCTAAGATACACCCATTTCTATAGCTGATGGCACACAAGAAAGCACTGTGGCTAGCACTGTCTGACTGCCTTTGATCACCTAAACTCAATGACTAGATATCCATTTCCAGCTGGGGCAACTGGAGGCTGCCTTTGGCACAAGTCCAGGGTAGGGCTTGACCTCATGCCAATGAAGCCATGAGATACTTTTCCTGCTCTGCTACTACACCCTCATTTTTATACTGGATTATATATGTATTTTACTGAAGAATACTTGACTATATATCATGCAAGATCAGTAACAAAATGGTATGAAAGACCTAACTGAAAACTTACCGCCCATCTCTTTGTGCAGCTCCACCTTCTGTTATTGTTTTCACAAAAATTCCTAGTTTTTCCAATCCCTGATCTGCACCGACTCCCATTCCTATAATACTGATGCCTAGGCCACTATCACCTGTAGGGTTAAAAAATCCCAACAACAGCCACCACATATTTTATAATATAGTTGCCATAAATCATACTCACCAGTTATAAACAAACATGCCCCATTCCTTATCTATACTTAATCAGACTAAGGTAAAATATATTTAAGTCAGTAAGTAACGAAAGAACGCAGACTGGCTTGTTCCCAGCAGGACGAAAAACCCCTTATACAAGACTGAAGTCCTAGTTGCTTAAAATGCTCCAGGACAGCAATGCCTTCGAACACCAGTTGTATGGGAATTGTGGAGAGAGAGATTAACATTACTGAATACATTTTCTACTTAGATCCCACCACACTGTAAATGACTGCCTAGTGGATTGCATTCTGAAGTTTATGCTTCTGAGCTATTAAATGACCCAAATAAATCCTCTGGTAGTATAAACTGTTGAAGTTCCATTTACCTCAATTACATTTACCTTATAATTACATTACAGAGACTGGTCCTTGCAAGTTGTTCCAATGAATTCAAGCCATTCACAAATGTGAAACTAAGCACGTACCTAAATCTTTAAACTATTAAGACCTAAATGTCATAGAAGCCCACTTGAAAAGTGCTTCAGTCTGTATATAAAAGAAATTACTTTTCTCTAGCAAATATTCGATAATTAATTTGCACCTTTTTCAATTTCTACAGGAAACACTTCCATTTTTTCCACCCTTTTCTCAAGTTCATATTCTGCTGATGCTGCTACTGGATCAACTTCTTCATTGCGCCTATCATATTCTTCATTTGAATAAGTGCTGAAAACCTTAGAAAGATAACAGAAAATGAGATTTCAGTGTAAATATTCTTTCATGTTTGAGAGTAGATTATCTACAAGCCAATATGTAAAGTGATAATTTTAAGGATTTCATTTTCTAAAAATTCAACGTATTTAAGAAATAACACTGCTGTTGCAAGGCAGTTTCTGAAGAACGGAGGAGGTATTTAGAAGTGCCAAATACTTCTAATGCCTTTGTACTAAAGCACACTTTTCACATAGATAAATACAGAATTCTATTTTTTCATAAGTCTCATAAAAAAACAACACAACATCATCTGCCAATTATTTTCTTTTACAAACAGATGCTTTTTTTTGGGGGGGAGAGGAGGAACTGTTTCCCAGGAAAAGGAAATGCCATGTTACATACATTACTAAATATAGTAATCACTCCAGCTGAACTTTTGAATTGTTAAAAATAACAGGACAATAAATAAAAAACTGATAAATAACCAGTACTAAGAGACTGAAGACTAAGAAGGAAGAAGGAATAAATAATATCTACTGAGACTGAAAGAAAGTATTCACTGGGTACATGCATCTACATGTAATGCTACGTTGCCATAGCAATGTGCTACTGCACTGTGGCATTGGCAGGCACAAACCGTAATGCCGCAACTACATCGCCGTAGCAACACGTCCTTCGTTACAGTGCGTTTCTACAGTGATGCAGTGGATTAAAAACTGTGTGCCACTGGCACACTGCGGTGCAGACTGTTACTGCACTGACATTAGTATTTCCAAAAGGATGTACTAATTGACTGCAGTAACAATGATTCAGTAGGGGCACATGTAGACATGCCCACTAATAAACCCACTAAGTTTAACATATACTATATAGCTACTGGATTAAAAACCTTGTGAAATACAGTAGTACAGTCTCTTTTTCCTCTGCCTACAAACATATGGGGGGAAACCTCCTTTATCTGGTTCATTTTTTTGCATGGTTTGGCCATATAAGCATAGACTCCAGGCATGTTCTTCAGCATTAACCAGACAAATGGCACTCAAGAGTTTTGGTGACATACCAGTACTCCCCAATCAGTAGCTTCCAAACCTGACAGGATGTCAGCCACATAGCTAAGGTCTAATCTTCAGTTTTAAAAGATTAATGAGATAGGTGTTCATACTGGTGTACCTATGGTAAAAAAAATCCAGGGTAAACTTTGGTGTGTGTTTCCCTGTATATTTGTTTCCATACAGTGTGGATGCTGGGTCTGGATAGCAGCATCACCCAGATGGGAAAAAAAGCATCAAAATAGATGGCCAGAAGCAACAAGGAAGGCTGGGATAGTGAAGGAACAATACACTACAGTATGCAGGTGCTAATCATATCTTGTCCACAGAGCAGCCATTAAGCTACAATACAAGACTGCTTTTAGAGACTTTCTGCCAAACACTGCATGAGCAAGTACTGCATTGTAAGAACAGAAGCAGTCATGACGCTAATGAAGTTGGCAAAGAACTACACAAACAGATGCAGAAGGATGAACAAAGACCCCAGAAGTTTTTTCCCCTTCAAGAATCTTCACACATCATAAAAAGGACTCAAGAATTTTTCAAGTTCTGCATCTAGCAAGTAAGCCAACAACTAGAGGATGATCACTTCTTTTGGAAGCTAGGGTAGATTTGCACCTTTTACACAAAGAAGAGCATAAAACAGGGAAGTTTGTAGGGCACAGCTGCCAAACCTGTGCTTGGAGGTTACAGAAGTTTATTTGATACGTGTTTTCCATAAGAATTATCTACGCGGACTGCAGGCCTCTGAACAGGTGTGGCTAAGACCCTAGGGTCTGATGAGCCTAGTTTGTTGATATCCAAGTAGTTACTCCCTCTCTGTTGAGAAGAAATGCAGCTGAGCAATAAAATCTCCTGCCAGGTAAATTTCTGTGCAAATGGGAATCTGGAAAAAGAATACAAGAGGCATGTAGAATTATACCCAGGAACATGCAATACCATAGTGGCCAGCCATAGAACACTGCTTGTACTCTGAATATTGGCACCGTGCTTTACTTTCTTTTCTCCGTGAAGCCAACTAGCACTAAGACAGAAACCTGCATACAAACTTGGTGGCTGCACTGGCAGAAAAGACTGTGATGGAAAGGACAAGTATAAACACTACCAAGCATCATGGGCCGAGTTCTTGGACAATCAGATTAAGAAAACATCCCAACCCCAAATTCAAAGAATCACAGAAGCAGCAAGGGGAGGCTTGGAAGTTTGTAACAAGAGGCAAGAGGTCAAGATGACATTTAGGGTGTTTGGAGACAAAAAGAGGATGGCTGGGCTGTGACTATGAAGGAGAGAGAACAAGGGGAAATCTCATACAGCTAAAATTTTCTAAACCTTATTAGGTCCTTAACATGGAAACTGAAGAATATATTTCTGGACACTAAGCTGTTCAAACAAGAGAGAAGTATTCACTCACAAATGGCTGCTCAGCCTAACCCAGGAGAAAAAACAAAGAAAAGATACCCACAAAGGGATCTTCAGCTATGCAACATAGACTATGTTCATTGGAGATTCTCTATTAAAGTGCTTCTCAACCATTTTAGGTTCAAGGCACTCTTTATAACTTCTCTTAAATTTAGCAGCACCCTTTACAGATGCAGATGGAGGGAGTTCCCTTTTCTTGGAGCAAGGGAGAGATGCTACCCATTTGGCCCAGCTTTAATGTATGAGGCCCAGGGGTGCACCAGTTGAGAATCACTGCTCTAGGCAATCCACTTTTTGCACTATTCAGCTGAGACACTTTAAAGAGGCTTGGTTTTCTTTAAGTGCTGAGCTTCTGCTCCGAAGACCAGGGCCCTGTCTGTAAGTAGGGATGGTCCCTGACTTCACTATTTTTTAAAAATCACTGGTGACGCTCTTGCCTCCTTGCACATTCTCACTCTCTCCTGGGCCGATTCCAGAACCAGTTTTCAGCTGCATTTCTGAAATTAGATAACAGGGGACAGCAGGATGGGGGAATAGAGCAGGGGATCTTCTGGAGTTGCCTTCTACCCTAGATGCTCCTTGCAATAAGAAGCCCTCGGTCCGTACATGGGCTTTGATTAATGATAGAAGAGGCTACTTTTCAGTTGCTACAACCCTTCAATGTCACCATGCCAACGGTTATAGCTCCCTGTGCTTGGTGCTGGCCAGGGCAGCACCACGCAGGGGTTAAATCATTCCATTTAGTGCTGCTCCCACACCCTGTGTCCTCAAGAAGCAGCCTTCCTACATCACCAGAAGATTCCAACTTCCCCTGCAAGGATACCACCTCTTCTCCTCCAACTCCTGTTCCTGAGACCCAGCAGGGTCCAGCTGCAGGGGAGATCTGAAGTCACTGCTCCATGGACCTGGCATGCCCTGCTCCTCCCACCTAAGTAGGCACATTTTGGAGCAGCAGGCCTGAGGAGCTCCATGTCCAGTTTGTCCGGTGCTGGTACTTGTGTGACTTGAGGATAGAGTGAGCTAGCACAGGAGGACACAGACTCTGCCAGGCACAACATTACCAGTCCCAGTTCTAGTGATTCCCTTCCCCCACTCTGCCAATTCCTCCTGGAAACAAGAGGTGCATGGGACAGTTCCACCTAACACACACAGACATACTCACACAGTTAGTGCCTTAAAAGGGGGCAATTTAATAAAGGTGAGATCAATTATGAGTGAAAGCTGGCAGTAGAAAGAATGTAAAGAAAAAATATGAAAGATAATAGGAAACTACTTGAGTGTTTTACTAACTGCTCCACAAACCATAATCCAAGAATCAAGAAGGTCACATTGCATAACAAACAAGCAAACCTCACTTAGAGGGGAAGTAAGAGAAGGAAATATAATAAATGCCATTAAATCATGGATTTATAGACTCATAGAATCATAGGGCTGGAAGGGACCCTGAAGAATCATTGGGTCCAGCACCCTGCATGAGCAGGAGAGACATCTGAGGTCAGACAACCCCAGCCAGGTGACTGTCCAGTCTTCTCTTGAAGATCTCTAGGGTAGATGATTGTATCACCTGTTGGGGGAGCTTGTTCCATAGTCTGGACACCCTAGTTGTGAAGAAGTTTTTCTTAATGTTCAGCCTGAAACTATCTTCTAGGAGTTTGTGGATGTTGTTTCTAGTTTTCCCCCAGGGAGCCCTGGTGAACAGTTGTTCAGAGCCCCTGATGTACACCTCTGATATAGTATTAAGCTGCAATCAGGTGTCCTTCTCAGCCTTCTTTTCTTTAGGCTGAAGAGTCTGAGATCCCTCAGCCTCTCCTTAAATGGCTTACCATGCAAGTCCCTGATCATGCAGATGGCCCTTCTCTGGACCCTCTTGAGCTTTCGCAGAGCCTTGCTGAAGCGTGGCGCCCAGAACTGGATGTAATACTCTAGCTGTGGCCGTACCAACGTTGAGTAATGTGGGAGAAACATTTCTTTGGATTTACTGGAGATGCATTGATTGATGCATGCCAGAGTGTTATTGGCCCTAGCGGCTACTGCATCGCACTGCCAGCTCATATTCATACTGTGGTTTACTGTTGCCCCCAGATTCTTTTCCTTTGTAGTGCTGGTCAGGTTAGCGATGCCCAGCTTGTAGGTATGCTGTGGGTTCTTCCTTCCAAGATACAGCACTCTGCATTTCTCTATGTTGAACCTCATCTGGTTCTGTTCTGCCCAACATACCAGCCTGTCTAGGTCTGCTTGTATCTGCAGCCTATCTATGGGTGTGTCCACGCAACCCCATATCTTGGTGTAAGACAGACCTTGACAAACTAACTTGATTTTTTAAATTTTCTATTATAAAATTGATTTAAAGGCAATAGGATTACACAATATACTTCAACTTCTGTACTGTAACAGTTTAAGAGAATGATGATACAATATCAATGTGGCAAAAATTAAAATGGATTAAAGCTGGGTAAAAGGGAATCTTTTTCAAGAAGCTGTGTTTCTAGTGGGGTTCCACAGTGATCATTTTTGGCCCCTTGCTATTTAACTTTTTACCAGTGTCCTGGAAG